GAGGGGGGGGGGGGGCGAGAAGGACGCACGGCCTGGGGGGCACGGAGGGCAGCGCTGCCGAGCTGCAGCCTGGGCGTGCGGAAGCCTTTTTTCTTTTTTTAAACGAAAACCTTCACATAGAGGTGTGTCCCCCGCCGCTCTCCGGCATCCCGTCCGGTCTGCCAGGATGGACGCACAGCGGGTCCCTCCGAGCCCAGCATCAAAGGGCAGGAAGGGCGCAGGGACCCGAGCCGCCTCGGGGAGAAACGCGGCGGGAAGGTCGAGTCCAGCCCAGAACTCGGGTCTCCGAGGCCCCCCGGCTGCAGCGGGGAAAGCAGCCAGGCTTCTCCCTTCCTTCCCCATCCTGCCCCCAATCCTGCTCCCCATCCTGCCCCCGCCCTCCCCCTGCCCCGGCCGGTGAGGGACCGGGAATACCGGTCATCCCAGTCATTCCTGGCCCAGCCCGGCCGGCCCGGCCCAGACAGAGCCTCTCCGCGCTCCCGAGGGGCAGGTGAAGGGTTCTGGAGCGACCAGACTCACCCTCCTCTCCGCCCCCATCCCGCGGGTCTGGCCCCTCTGCCTCCCAGGCCCTGACCTTACCCTTCGCCAACTCGCCAAATCCCGGGAGGGGGTCCGACAGGTGCCACGGCGGCTGCGGGCCCAGGCCCGACTGCGCCCGGTGTGCGGGGAGACGCGTGCACACGGCCCTGTATCAGAGCGGCCATCAGGAGCCGCGGGTGGCGGCGGGCGGGGCGCAGGGGGTTCGGTTGGCGTGAGGTCTGGAGGGCAGAGATAGGGGTGCAGTTCAGCTACTGCTGCCAACCGCCTTCTCCCTTCCAGCCCCGCTCTCCCCTCTTCCCACGGCCTTCACGTCCTTCCTCTTCACTCCCAGGGGGGTGAGGGGCTGGCTGTCTTCTGAGGTTGGGACCAGAGGGCCACGGTATCCACACGCCCCGGAGGTAAACCGAGGCAGCTCCCGGGGGGGGACAGGAGTGAGCCCTCCAGGCCGGCCTCTCCCTGGAGGTGATCTTGTGACGGGTGGGTCCACAGCAAAGCACCCGGATAATGGTGTTTGCACAGGCCTCTCGCCAACAGGCCTCCCGGCGCTTTCCTGAGCTTCCCGGGCCACAGAGGAGCCCTGTGCTGCCAACTCCCAGGTGCCTTAAAGGAGGTTCCGTTGGTTTTTTAAAAGTTTACGTCTGGCCCAGCTGGTGTGGCTCAGTGGTTGAGCGTTGACCTATGAACCAGGAGGTCATGGTTCGATTCCCAGTCAGGGCACATGCCTGGGGTTGTGGGCTCGATCCCCAGTAGAGGGCATGCAGGAGGCAGCTGATGGATGATGTTTCTCTCTCTCTATCCTCTCCCTTCCTCTCTCTAAAAATCAGTAAAGGGAAAAAAATATTTTTTTAATTTACTTCTGGCCAGGCCGGTGTGGCTCAGTGGTTGAGCATCAACCTATGAACCAGGTCATGGTTGGATTCCATCTCAGGGGGTTTCAGGCTCAACCCCGAGTAGGGGGCCTGCAGGAGGCCGCAGATCAATGATTCCCTTTCATCGCGGATGTTTCTCTCTCTCTCTCCCCCTCCCTCCCTCTCAGAGATCAATACAAATAAATATATTTTTAATGTACCTCTGGTCACCACTGCTTGAGAAGTGTCTGTGGGAGTAGCAGCCTAGTCAGTGTATACCTCAGAACATGATACGGAGATTGTTTTCCACTGTCAGGGAGGAGTCCCCAGAAGCCAACGCTAAGAGGATGGAGAAGAGATCAGACAGGGACCACGGTGACGCCTGTAGGAAAGACACAGGGACTTTGGGAAGAAAACGATCAAGATCCACAGCATCAAAACCAGCGAGGTGTGTGAGCCTTGGCAGGGGAACCCTAAGTGTTACTGGGAACAGTCCAGATAGAGTAGCTGGGGCACATGAAATATAAAGGAATGAAAAGTGAAATGTAATAAAAACCCTCAAAATATGTGCAAATGCAAAGTGACGGTCATCTCCTGGCCTTGACGTTTGCGATCACAAAGCACCGCTTAAACCACAAACCCTCCTGGCTACTCCTCCTAGGAGTCATTTGACAGATTAGAAATCCAGATTTCTTTCAAAACCTTTAGGTATTTTCCCAGAAGTCAGAAAACACACCTTCCCTGTCATGTAATCATGACCAAGAAGGCCGTACAATTTTTAAGCCGTTTTACAAATAGGCACCCTAAACACCATTTCCCAGTTCGTTTCCAAGGTTTTTACGCTTGTGACGAGGTTAGCTAACTCTGAAAGAAGTCCAACCAGAATAAACTGTATGTTCTCATTTGAAATTGGTAAGTATTTATGCTTGGCCAATAAAGGGGGTTGTGTTATTTTATTTCAAGTTGCTTTTTCACTTACCGGTCAGGGCATCCTGAGCTTCCTCCGCGTTAGCGGACGTGCTCACTGGGACAAAGGCAGACAGGCACGGCCACCAGGACGCCGCTCCAAGTAAAAGCAACGGCGCTGGCATCACCGATTCCAGGAAGAGCTGGTCCCGGCCGGGGCTGCTGTCGGATGTGAAAATGTGAAGCTTTATGGCGTGATTTGGGATCTATAAAGCCATGTTGCCATTCACAAGCCTTTCTCAGTGTTACGGGCATATTTCAAGAACGGTCTGACGTTTCTATAACCCATGACTGACTGGGCCCTTGAGAAGTTTAAGTTGACACCTAGTTCAGATTGCAGGCCTCTATTTTCCCCCGTTTCCACTTTGGATATTTCAAATAGATTTCTCATGAATGCTGACTCTGACTTCTTTCCTGCCCTCTCTCCCTCTCTCTCTTTCTCAAACACACACACACACACACACACACACACATCAGTAGTCTACGGTTTCTAATTGGGGAATTAAGTGCATAATGTAAAAGATTCCTAAAGAAATACATCCCCATGGCAAATCCATGGAGACAGAAAGCATATGACTAGTAGGTGTCGGGGCGGGAGGTGAAATGGGTGGTGCCTGCCTCAGGGTACAGGTTCCCCTCTGGGTGATGAATATGTTCCAGGCGGAGCTAGACGGTGCTGGTTGCTGCAGCACACTGTAAATGTGCTTAAAACCCTGGAAATGTGTGCTTTAAAGTCGTTAAAATGGTGAATTTTGTGTTATGGGAGGTTTACCTCCATTTCAAAATATATTCCTCTCTGGGAAGTTGGCCATTGGGGGGAGAGTGGACACTGGGATAACTGTAGGCCAAATGAGGTCCTAGAAGAGTCTCCTCAAAAAGCAAGAATTTGCAAAGAGGTATCTTGCCCATCAGACTCTATGGAAACTTAAAAAGCTTGAAACTGAATTAACTGGTTCGGTTTCTCCATGTTCGGCCAGAAAACACATCCAAGTTCCATTTAATCCATGTTTCGGTATCCTGCCTGTTTCCACAGGCAGCTCTTCCGCTGTCTCCCCTCAGTCCCTCGTGCTGCAGCATGACGTCCGCTCTCCTGCCCTCTCAGTGGCCAGCAGGCAGTGCCTAGCATCGCATCACCCTCCCCGTCTCCAGCCCTTGCTGGCCTGAGCCAGGCTCTGCCAACAGGGACAAACTCCCCGGGCCTTCGGTCACTTGGATGGCCTTCTTGGCGCCCTCTCCATCGCACCATCTGCTTGCAAGCCCTCCTGGGAGACAGCATGAAGGCCGCACCAGCTGAGCCAAGGACTCCTGAGCGACAGGATCCCCACCCTCCGTCCTCTGTCCCGGCCCCTGCGCGCTGCACCTGCTCCTAAGCCCAGCTGGGGGCTGACTCCCACTCAGCCCACCACGTGCTTACACACGAAATCTACATGCCGGGCTCTCAGCAACGGCCTTGGGCTCCTCTGTGTTCTCAGTGGGACGTGGCCCACGCGGCCCGAGCGAGAGGCCCTGCTTTCCAGCCCCCTCCCACCCCGGCCTCTCAGTGGTGCGACCCTTTGCCTGCTCGCCCACCTTGCTGGTCTATGTGAGTAGAGACTCCTTCCACGCGGCTGGCTCGCTCCTTTCAAGTCTCATAAATGCCTGATTGTCACAGCGTGGCAGCTACGAGTGCCGCCCCGAGAAGACAATGGTGTCTACAGGCCCCCGGGCCTGGTGAGACGCGATGCCTTACCTTCGGTTCTTAATTTTGGCCCCACGGCCCAGCATGTAACAGGAAGGCTCTAAAACAACCAAGACCCTCCCCACTCCTGGCACAGCCCCCCTCGCCAGGCGATTAGAACATGCTGACGAGAGCGATGGCCTTGGCATCTAACAGTTAAAATCAAACAGCAAGGCCCTCCGAGGAGTCTGTCAGACCGGCCGCTGCCCTGCTGCCTGCACGGAGCCACGCGCATGACAGAGGCCATCAACTTGGAGTCCAGACAAGTGGCAGACACTCCGCAAGGTGCGTATCAGGTATTGTGTCATCTAACCCTGTGACACCCTGTGAACTGCTTCGGCTTCTACCCCCACTGTGCACACACAGGAGCTAGGCTTCTACCCCCACTGTGCACACATGGGAGCTAGGCTTCTATCCCCACTGTGCACACATGGGAGCTAGGCTTCTATCCCCACTGTGCACACATGGGAGCTAGGCTTCTATCCCCACTGTGCACACACGGGAGCTAGGCTTCTATCCCCACTGTGCACACACAGGAGCTAGGCTTCTATCCCCACTGTGCACACACGGGAGCTAGGCTTCTATCCCCACTGTGCACACACGGGAGCTAGGCTTGGGGGTGAAGTGCTCACCGGGGGCACTCGGCCGCAGAGGGCAGAGCCAGGACGCACGCCTAGATCTGTCCCACGGCGCAGCCCTGGCTGGTTCAATCCCTGGTCCCTGTTGGGGTGTGTGCGGGAGGCAACCAGTCCATGTTCCATGTGTCTCTCTCACATTGATGTTTCTCTCTCTCTCTCTCTCCCCCCTCCCCCACTTCTCCCTCCCACTCTCTCTCTAAAGATCAATGGGGGGGGGGGAATATCCTCAGTTGAGGATTAAAAAAAAGTACTTGATGTATGATCAAAACTTTATATAGTTATTAGAGAAGAAGGCATCTAAGCACATTGCAGACTAAGGTGCACATAGCATTGCTCTTCCAGGTAGAAAATTTGCTAAATGTGAAGATTATCCTCAAAAGTGCATTTCTTCTGGCACCAGAGGAAAAATCTTCTACCTAATAATCAATGAGTATTGATGCTGCTTCACAAGTAGCTTAAAATAATCCCCTTAATCAGGTCAAAGCTGCACTGGTCATGCCTCCTTTTAAAATGATCTTATTGCCCTGGACAATGCCAAGAAATTCCTTTGGACTATTTCTGAGATGACAAAGCATTTGTATAAAGCCCCAACTTTTAATACTGATTTAAAAATTCAGCAGTGAGTAGTCGAAAAATAATCCCCCAAACCCCAAATATTTTATTTTGACCTAGTCTCCCCTTTTCATACCTAAAAATTTTGAAGTGAGCTTTCACCAATCTACTTAACATCATTATGTCCCTCTTATACCTAGGGAGTGCCCTGAGAGGGTGCTGTGTTCAAGCTGGACCTGGCAGCGGGCCCAGCTAGGATATTTTTTTCCCATTGAT